ACTCAATGCACCATTGCTTCTATTGACATGTTAAAATGGAACTTTCATTGTACAAGTAGCCCTGCACTTCATCTGGTGCTTATGTAACTCTCTCACATATAGAAGGTTATTTCCTACACCTTTACTCTTCTAGAAAACTTTGGACAGCCAGACAAACAAACAGATTGTAGTGCACTGTGAGCTGAGGAATAGAATATCTACTATTCCCGTTGATGGTCATGGCTCATTTTCCAGGATAAGCAATGGTTTGCCAGGTAGTGGAGATGAGAGGAGATGACAGCTGTGTTTCTGTTCAGCAGTCTAGTGGATTTCACAGAAAATTTTGAAATGCTGTAAAATATAAAACACAGGTTAAATCTTTACCTCAGTTGCATTATCCGTAAATATACTGATTATGGCTAAGTTAATGCTACTGGCAGTAATTATGGAAACCATTTAATGCTTTCATCAAAAATAAATAAACATTAACTCATAAGCAGAAAGAATAATGTTACTATCATCACATAACATAGAGCTAATAGAGGGAAATGTCTTGGTAGTTATGTCTAACCAAAAATTTAGTGTAAATAATAAATTATGACTTTCAAAGCCAGATTATAAAATCTAATCACGTGAGAGAATTTTTTCAGAAATAACTAGCTAGCCAATTTGTAAAGGTGTTTTCAAATGTTTTGGTTTTTTCAGCCATAAGTTACTTTATATCAGTTTTTACAAATTTGATATTGAACTACTGTATATACCTATGCTTAATATACATTTGACATATGTAAGAGAAAAGAATAAGCAGCAATATCATTACTAGTTTATCTGTTTTTAGCCTTTACATTAAATACATTTTGTCATTTAAACGACAAAGACAAACATTCAGGAAAAAAATGTAAGAATATGACAGCTGTTTACATTAGCTTGGGCCTCTTAATATGATCTAATACCTTGTGGAATGTCTATTTGTCCTTTGATTGTGCACTTACTAGCTAACAGCAGAGAAAAGGTACTTGTCTCCATGTTTATTTAGTCAACTGACAGAATGAGAGGATGATGAGGGAGGGGTTGCTGTTCATGCTCTCAAGCTCATTTCACCTTCTCCACCTTTATTTGTTTCTCATGTACCTGCTGCCATTCAAAGCCCAACTTTGAGTGTCACTTGCATGTTGAACGATTTTAATTTTCCCAAATTAAAGGTTATTATTCTTAATTTTAAAAAACTGTAACATTTAAGCTAAATATGAGTTTCCCATAATTAATTGTTTTTAAGTTGACCTTTTATACATTTTTTTAAATATCTTTATGGACAATGTAAAATGTTGTGAAATGACCTTATGCTGATATGATATACATTAGTTATTTTTATTGACCTTGATACTAAGATATAATAACTATTCTGGCTTTTCCCAAGTCGCTAATGTTTAATCAAGCATCAATTTTAACAATTTATTGATCCTGTGATCCTCTCATGCTGCACTGATCCAGGTACAAAGATTGTGGCAGGACATAATTGCAGTCAACTCTAGTTTAAGAATACTTTTAAATGTTTTTGTTGCCTGTTTTTTTTTTCTTTTTCTTTTTGTTATCAAAAAGAAAAAAAAAAATTTTATCCATTGTTAGATTTTTTTTTTTTTTTTTTTGCCATTCATCAGGCTTCACGTGTCTTTCACAGCTTAAGAAAAGGCAGATTGTGGATTTTATGTGATTGAGACTATTTAAGAAAACAAAGTCTCACACTTCCTGTATGTGTCTGTGTTTTAGCCTTTGTTTTCTCTGTCTTTGTTTTCCACCTCTCAGCCTAGAAATTTGTATTTCTACAACATGAGTGCATTTTAGTCAGGTTTGCAATTGCTTCATTCCACTTCCCATTTATAGCTTACGTGGTAATCCGCAAGATTCACATCATTTCATTTTGGCAGCGTCTGTGGTGCTAAGTGGCCTCCGCTGTGGTGTTCTCTTAGAGATGCTCCACCTCCCAGAGATCAGTTGGCAGTCAACTCGCTAGGCTACCACTATAGCACGTGTCTCTTCTATCTAGTACAAAAGTATTTCTCTTTGTGAATTCTGGACTCACCATTTTAAATGTCAGTGTTTCTTTCCTTTCTATTTCAGCAGTTATTCAGTTGCTAAGACTGTTAACAAAAGGTTTTGCCAAAATGTTCGCTTTCTGTGCGTGGGCTACAGTCACTGCAGATTCTTATATTTCACAAAGTTTAGTTTTTTCTGCTGTTTCACATAGATATGTGGGAGATGGCACATCTTGAAGTTGTCTGCTGTTATCTTTATGTAAGGCACTTCACTGAATAGAACCAGAAGTCTCACTACCTCCTCTGTCTGTCTCTCTCTGTGTTTCATTCTCCAGGGGAAGTGACGGCAGTCGAAAGCTCAAGAATGTAAGTGATACTGTCAGGTTACAGTGGGATAATTTGTTTGTGTGCTAAATACATGTTTGGAAAGAAAGTGTTATTCTGGTGCTCTGTTTCTCTTTTTGCTTTCACTATCCATGATTTCAGTGGCTCTTACTAATCCGTGATCCACCTGTGTTTTCCTGTTAAAAAGTTGTTCCTCTTTTCTACGTTCTTGTCCCTGGGGCTGGATCACTGGGGTTCTTTCTCTATATTGTGGGGCATTTACCTTTACATAAAGTACCTTGACACAACTCTTACTGTGAAATGGTGTTAAATATCTAGTTTCTATTCTGTCTGTATTATCCTTTATTACCTTTCCACTTTACCCTATTTATGTGCATCCGTTCATGCATCTTACTTTGTTTGTTTTAGATGGTATGTTGGTTTTTCATATTTTTTGCTTAGTGTTTTCTTTCACCTTTGAAGTCAACTATTTCTACATATTCTGTGAGTCTTGATTGATTTCAGGCGTCTTTATTCTTGCCCCTCTTACAGCCTTTTAATTATTTAGAGGCCCGTTATAGTCACTGTCTGCTCAAGTCAGCACCTTCCTATCCTTTTTCTAATAATGCTGCTTTAAGAAGTAGAACACACAATGCTGGCCCTGCCTACTCTGCAGTCAAAGCAGTTCTACTCGCGCTCTCTCTCTCGCTATGTCCTCCCCTCCTCTCTCTGTGATGCTGCTGTGCACTGTACAAGTTAATGTGTCGAGCTGCAGCACTGGTCAGGCCTGTTAGCTCATTTAGCTGACTAAACATGGGGGACTCCAGCATTTGCAGCGGTGGCAAATGGCTAACATATTCCCAGCAGCCAACACTTTTGCAAGGAACCTTCTGCTGTGATGTGCTGTAGATTCAGGACTAAGGACTAGGATTTGACAGCAGCTGTCTCTGCAACACATCAAATATTGAGAGGTGACGAAACTGCATCGAGAGGAATTTGCTGATGTGATGACAAAGATGTTGTTTAGCAAACAGCAGATGGGACGTTACCATTTTTAAAAGAGGTATGCCTGGATAAGATACTGCTGAATCTGCTGTGTTCATGAGACTGTTATTTAGCAGGTAAAAGTGTGAAGAAGAAGGCCTGATTATGCATAGTGATGACTGTTAGATATATAAAACAAAATCTGTATCTGTATGCATGTGTGCATGCACTGGATAGTGCTGAGGTCCTGACATAATAGGTGGATTTTTGACTTCGTTCATGACCCTGCAGTGCGTGGCTTTAAGTGTGTTTGCACATGAACCAAAAAGGTGAATGTTGTTTTCCAGTGGAACTTTCTTGACAGGTCTGTCCACGTGTGCACTGACAGGCAGCTGCTGAAATTGACAAGGCAAAGCGTGTGTGGCGCTATGCATTATTCTGCTGTCACGTCGTTTATTTTCATTCCCGACTGTCGAAACTCTGCTGAGATGTACTCAAAGTTTGCCTTTAAAATTCTTTAAGAATGCTCTTCGTTAAGTATTGGTTGGTTTAGTGCTGCATGTGTAAATCATACAGACAGACAGAGTTTTGGAATGTGATTGTGGAGTTTGGGATTGATAAGGGTGTGTTTACAGCACAATAGTAAGCGAGTGAAACACATTTGGTGCTGACCCAGTTCCAGTGGGAGTTGGCATGAATCTGCTATTGTGGTGACACAGAAACTCCATATTCTGCTGCTGAGAGAGCTGCAGTATGCAGCTAATGAAGCTTAACCTCAGCAGCTGTATTGTCACAGCTTCACCTCTGTAGTGTCAGGATATTAGATAAAAAAAATCTCACGTGGTTCTGAAAATATGGCTTATGAAACTAAAATTGTATAATAGTTAGAGTCAATGATTGATCGATGGAACTGTCCCCAGTTGCAGCTCAATGATGTTTCACCCTTTAATAAGGCTAAAAGTTTAACGTATTTTCACCGTCCAACACAGCTTCACATAAAAGGTCTCATTTAGCTTTGTGCTTATTCTGATCAGCAGACTGGTTCTTTTGCACTCCCTCCAACTGCGTTTGAATGGCAGAAGTTGTTTACACTGACAGTATGACTGAAATAAACACATTAAGCCTTGCTGAGCTTTCTTATCAAAGCGCTCCCTGTGGACAGCTCGTTGACATGGACACAGTAAATATAGCTGGGAGCTTTTTGCCAACAGTGTTAAAGGTGCAGCTCTGTGTGATTTCCCTTTGGCCGGAGTCGGTGTGTAAATTTTGCATTTTAGACATTTAGCTGACAAAAGAACTTCAGTTCGTTGGTTCCTCAACCACAGTCAGTTACTTTGGGGCATTTGTTACAACCAGTGGTGCCAAAACAAAAGTAGAGGCTCTTTCAGCTGCTCATTCAGCTGCTGTTAATGTGTTTCAGAGAGTTAAGAATGACCGGGTAACTGATATACTCAGCACTAAGCTAGCTAACAGGCAATTATAAATCACTGTGACCACAGAAAGGTGGCTATATGTCAGCAAGAGAAGTGCCTGTGACCAGTTTCGGTGTCTGAACAGTGCCTCAGTGTTGTTGTGTTTCTTCCAGCTGCGTTTGCTAACTTATCACTTCTTTGGAAGAGGCTGAGCTGCAATTACCAGGAAACTAGCTGGCACTGTTTTACAAAAAGGGAAAAGTGAAAGCAAGAGAGTGGGTGTTTTGTTGTAGTTTTTTCTTTGTTTTTTTCCTTTTTCCTTCAATGCATCCAATATTATTTATAGCTATTTGACTGCTTTGCTGCATGAACATACCAGAGATACACCTGTGTAGCATATTTTGAGTTGACAGGCTAATGAACAATGTGAATCCAGGGTATCATTTTGAAGACTTGGGATGCCAGTGGGCCGGGAGGCTGCTGCCCAGACTGCTTTTTCTCTGCTGGTGACGATTAGGATTAGAGCAGGGCGATATGACCAAAAATATTTATCACGATATACATTTGAAAATTTGCGATAACGATATAACTGACGATATAACTGGCACTAGACAAAATACTTTACAACTCCACAACTTTATTAGTGCAAAAAAAAAAAAACATCAATGTATTTTCACTTAAACAAGCAGCTGTTTTAGGTGAATTAAAGTTATATAAAAATTTAACAGTGCAAATGCAAATTCCTTGCTGACAGTTTAACCAAAAGGCATTTCCAGTGGAAATTGGCCGACATATCATCAGCATAACCATGTATATTATCCACAAAATTTAAAAAGAGGTTATACACACACAATACGGTAATATTATGTTGAAGCACAGTACGTATCACTCCGCCAGGCTCCTGCCTGCGATAGCCGTAATGCGCTGACAATCCATCAAGCAGTCCGGGTTCATAGCTTAGCAAAGTCGTACTAAAACATTTGACAGATTTTCGAGAGCCGTGTACCACATAAAATTGTTTCGAGGTCAGTAAACACAACCAGAATTCATACATAAGGCTCATTGGATTATAAGGGGCTCTGTCGATTTTCAGAAAAATCAAAGGATTGATTTTAAGTGTGCCGTATTTTCCAAACAACATGGTAATAACGACGGCCCGCTAGCATGCTCTACCAAAAGTAGTGCTTTGTTGTGTGTCTGACGGACGAAAGCTAAACCAGTTCCACACCACTGAAGTTGCAGCATTTTTATAAACCAGTTCTGATTCATCGTTTCATTCAACAATTTGCTTTCGCCGCCATGCTTTTTCCGACGTGTGCGTATGAAAACAAAGGCACTGCGCATGCGCGTTTAACCCATATTCTATCGCGATATTTCATTTTTCTATCGTTGCCCAAAATTATACCGGTATTACCGTGAACGGTATGATATGGCCCAGCCCTAATTAGGATTTGAAAACTAATTTTTAATGTTATTTTTTTTAATTAATAAGTTTAATATTGTTGGTGATGTAAGGCTGACTGGAATTAAGACAGAGTGCTTTGAGTTGGTATTGAAATGTGATCAAGTAGCTCTTTAGTTTTAAAAGGCTAATTTGTTTCATGCTTTTCTTTTATGGGAAAGATCAGCTGATATTTTTTCATGATTTTTGTCTGCATTTCTTCTTTTCTTCAGGTTTTAATTACTATCTACTGGTTGGGTCGTGCTGCCAATAGCTGTACATCCTACAACGGGCCCACGTTGGACCTGAAAGAGTTTGAGGGCCTGCTGTCACAGATGCGAAAGGTTGGATAACTCATGTTTATGCCAGTGATAAAAAATATAATGGAAATCTCAAGTACATGGATAATATAGTCAGCACTTGCTTTCCCCCCCATTATGTCTCTCTTAGTAACCAGAGCTGTAAAGTGTAATAGGTAGGGAGACCATATGCTATATTAAATATTTGATCCCTGCAGTAATTCATTTCTACAGCCAAAGTGACCTGAGGCATGACACACAGCTTCTGCAGAATCACTTATTTTGGAACTGAGATTCAGTAAATGTGTGTTTGTTCGCTGTACTAACATTTCTGAGAAAACACCTTTCACCCGAGATCCAGTCAAGAAAATTGAATTTAACCTACCTTTTACCTTTTTAATGAGACCAAGAAGAAGGAGAAAAGTTAGAAATGGCAAACCCTCAAGACACATACATGCATACACCCTCTGTGACAGTCATTCGTAGCCATGATGTCAGTTCTGTGCAATTTATTCCACTATGTGACGTCCTATTGCTATTCTTTAAACTGGGAAATTGCTGCCAATTCAGCAAAAATACTTTCCCAGATGTTCGCACGTTGCAGACGGACAACACAAAGCCATAATTCCACAAAGCAAAAAAAAAAACTTTGATAAAATGAAGGAAAGCTCATCATGTGCAGGTGCATGAAATTCCAGAGTGACTATTCACTTCCCGCCACACTTCCAACAGTTACTAAATGGAAGCTGGACCTTACAAAAACTGATGATTGAAAAGCACTAAGCAGGTAAATGTGAGCTCAGCTGCACTCTTATTTACTTTTTGTAAAAAGCTTAGTTTAAGTGCTTGTGTTAAAGGGTGAGTTACGAGGGAGATGCATATTTTCTTACTTAACTGGTATAGTGGTATATAAGTTATAACATATTGGTTTAAATTGTGTAAAAGTGAAAGAAACAAATCACACATGACTCCTGCTGCTGTAGAACCTGTTTTATAAGCATAACAAAGACATTTAGGAGAGTTTGGGAGTTGCATAACAGATGGTACAGGGGTCATGGGCAGGAAGTCTTTTGGTAGACAGGAAAGGCCTTTCCCCACCTTCCATTAGCTGCAACAACACATTAAAGCTGTGGACAGAGAAAGGGAGGGGTCACTAAGGTGAAGAGAAAATGATGAAGAGTGATGTAGGCAGAAGAAGAGAGAGGTTATTGGAAAAATAGATGTGGGCAGAGTGGAGACTTGCAGCATGACGGCTATAGTGGACACAAAGGCCAAACAACACAAGTTTGGGGGACTTCAGTGACGACTGATGGAATATGCAGCGAAAATTTCTAATTCATTTTAGGGTGTTTGATAACTTTCATTACTCTCCACCATTTGTTACCTCTCTTTTTTGTGCTCATGCATTTTGTAAAATGTGTGTATGCATTCTCAGGAGACAGAAGAGGCAGAGAGCCCTAAACGCAGCATCCGGGACAGTGGCTACATTGACTGCTGGGACTCTGAGCGCAGCGACTCTCTCTCCCCGCCACGCCACGGGCGCGAGGATTCATTCGACAGCCTGGACTCCTTCGGATCACGCTCAAGACAAACCCCGTCACCAGACGTCCTGGTCGCCCGCGGCAGCAGTGATGGTAGGAAAATCAATCTAGTCTATACACTCTTCGATTCACACTGAACTGCTAGTTTTAGTTGACTGTGAAAGACTGGTTACAATGGCCACCCTTTAAATCACAATTTGCAGGTTAAATATGTTCAGTAGCCATTGTGTTGTTTTAGCAATAGCTGTTTTTCCTGCGAGTGAGAAGTAAGTCTTTGTGCAGGTTGGGCAAGGTGCACAGATGCAACATATAGATAAATGAGGTTTATTGTGCTTTGAATGCTACTGTATGAAGGCTTGTTGTTCTGGCTGTGTTTTTGCAGGACAACGCCCAGTTCAAGTCAAAGGCTGTTTGAGAGAAT